TCTGGCTCCCACATTAAGTAACATCTAATTTTTTCCACGTAGTTCGTGAAGCCTTCAATAGCTGTACTGGAGGAATTTCCATTTGGTACAGATATAATGGGAGGCTGATCGATGCCCGGGTGTGGTCAAAGGATGGCTCCCTATTGGTCAACCACGTTATGTATGCCGATTATTTGGTAATTGCTGCTCATTTAGAGGAAGCGTTGGAGACGCTGCTGCTGATGAAACTGGAGCATGCCACTAATAGGTGGGGCCTTACCATCAGCCCCACCAAAACTACGCACCTGCCTGGGTATTTTGTACCATCGGACACTCCACCCCCACAACTCCCAATCGGTGATGGGGCAGTTGTGGAGAGAGTGGAGAGTTTCCCATTCCTGGGCAGTGTGCTCATGACTGGCTCCGGTTTAACAGCAGAGGTCTCACTCCGAATCAGTCGAGCGGCAATATACTTTCATCGGTTGCGTAACGCTGTGTGGAAGCTACCTGTCTGTCGCTCCGCATGAAGCTTCAGGTCTTCTCGGCCACGGTCATTCCCTCCCTTCTCTACGCTTGCGAAACGTGTACCCCCCTAATGGAACATCTTTGCCGGTTAGAAACATTTAGGCTGGCCTGCCTACGATCCATCCTGGGTTTAACTAGGCTGGATTGTGTGAGGAGCTCACAAATCCTTGAAAGATCTGGGCAAAGTCCCATCGGTGAGCTCCTCCGGCAGGCAAGGCTGCGTTGGCTGGGCCATGTAGCCCGCATGCCCAGCCACCGCATGCCTAAACAGCTTTTGTTCGGCCGGATCGAGGGGGCTAAACGGGCGCGGCACGGGCTAGAGAAGAGATGGAGTGATGTGGTACAGGAGGACGTGGAGCTGAGTGGACTTGCCGATGACTGCTACCAGCGGTGTCAAGATCAGCATCTGTGGAGGAGGCTCGTGAAGGACGCTGCTACTGGGCAGTTGGAGGTAGTCGCCCTCCAGCAACAACGGAGGGAGGAGGAGCGACGCTCACAACAACGAGCGGAGCGCCGGGTGGCTAAAGCACAGCAGGTTGGCAAGTAGGGGGCACAGTTGGTGCATTAGCCAGTCATCTCAGTCATCTGAGTCAGTCGACCCGTGGCACCTGGATCTGCCCCGTGACCTCCTGCCAGCGGGCGTTCGACACTTCACGTGGCCTCAAGGTGCACATGGCCTGGCACAAGCGTCATGGTGACGTCACCGCCACTTAGTGGCGAATGGCGGTTGTTGTTATTGTTGTGTGTGTGAGTGTGCAGCGGTTAGCTGTGCGCTATGAGCACGGCGACCCGGGTTCGATTCCCGCTCACGGCCAACACCAGTGACGATTATCTGAACCGGTCCTGGGCCTCCCCTAAGTCGACTCAGCCGACAATGGATAACCGGTGCGGTGTGTCGTAAACATCGCCACTAGGGGGAGACAAAGGCGGCCGGGCGTGGTGCTGGCCACCCACCCCCTCGTGTGCCGTGCCGGCCTTCATAGGTGCTCGCTAACAGCACTTGCCCCTACACGGGGGATCTTTGTGTGTGTTTTGTATCTCGCTGAGGAGGAGGAGGAGGAGGCTCGTGAAGGACGCGCCTGTACTGAGCAGTTGGAGGCAGTCGCCCTCCAGCAACAACGGAGGGCAGAGGAGCGACGCTCGCAGCAACGAGCGGAGCGCCGGGCAGCTGAAACACATACTCTTTGGTTCTGTTCGGTAAAGTCGCGGTGAAAAAAACAACAAAAAATAAAAATTCGCGACGTTTCGGCCACAACACAAGTGGCCGAAACGTCGTGAATTTTTTTTAAATTTTTTGTTATTTTTTGTTGATTTTTTCGACGCGACTTTACCGAACAGAACCAAAGAGTATGGATCCTTGCAGTCACGAAAGCTTTCAATCTAGAAGAGCTAAAACACAGCGAATTGTTACATTGGGGTGGGTGGTACAGCTGGTGGTGGTGCATCTACCAGTGGTCATCTCAGTCAGCCAGCCCATGCCACCTGCTGGGTCTGTCACGAGACCACCTGCACCTAGCCTGGCACAGTAGGGGGCACAGCTGGTGTGGTGCATCTACCAGTGGTCATCTCGGTCAGTTGACACCGTGGCACCTGGCTGGGTCTGTCACGAGACCACCTGCACCTAGCCTGGCACAGTAGGGGGCACAGCTGGTGTGATGCATCTACCAGTGGGTCTGTCCCGTGACCTCCTGTCAGCAGGGACCCTTCGGCACTTCACGTGGTGGCCTCAACGTGCACCTAGCCTGGCACGGGCACCGTGGTGACATCACCGCCACTTAGTGGGTCTCTCTCCGTGGTGTCTTCTTGGCGTGGTCCGAGACTGTTTGCCGTTGTTTTTTTGACTGCCTTTCCCAAGCTTGGCAAACGGTTTTGCGATTACAATTTGAACCCCTACACTTGGTGGCCAGGAGATGTTAACTACCTCGCCTGGTACGCAGGAGGTCGCGGGTTCGATCCCAACCCTGACCCCTGCTGTATATTTGGAGTCTGCATCTCTCTCTCTCTCTTTCATCATCATTGCGGTGGCTAGGAGATGTTAACTACCTCGCCTGGTATGCAGGAGGTCGCGGGTTCCATCCCGACCTCTGACGATGCTTACTGCTGCTGTATATTTGGAGTATGCGTCTCTCTCTCTCTCTCTTTCATCGTCATCGCGTTGGCTAGGAGATGTTAACTACCACGCCTGGTACTCAGGAGGTCGCGGGTTCGATCCCGACCCCTCCTGTATATCTGGAGTCTGCGGTGTCTCTCATCATCATCATCATCATCACGGTGGCTAGGAGATGTTTACACCCTCGCCTGGTATGCAGGAGGTTGCGGTTTCGATCCCGACCCTGACCCCTGCTGTATATTCGGAGTCTGCGTCTCTGTCTGTCTCTCTCTCCCCCCGTGGCGGTCGCGTGAATTATTTTCTCCCGTTTTATTTCCACCCTCCACATTTAGCAAGGTCCATCTCGACAGCCTCTGTTATGTTGCCGCTGTAAATGTCCACGCGACGAGCCATCGTGTTGAGCTGACGTCATGTGCGAAGGCCCCAGGCCTCGTCTGAAAACGAAGCCACTAGCTCGGTGGCCTTTGCCTGGTAAGGTAAAAAAAAATAACAAAACCAATAGTTTAGTTCTATACTCTTTAGGTTCTTTCGGCAACGTCACGTAGTAGGTAAGAAATCAAATAACAGATCACGAGGTTTCGATCGCGACACAAGCAGCCGTCATCGGGTGGGACAACCACGGCAAGACAAAAAATCTGCCAAAGTAGGCGAGAGATCTGCCGTGGAAAGAGATCTGCCTGCCACAGCATTGTTATCAGATTGTGTTTTTTTTTGCATTTTGACCACAAGTATTGTGGTTAATGCGCCACACAATTTTTTGCTGCCGGAAAGAAAAAGGGGAACAAACCACTATTGTTATTATTATATCTTGGTACTGGCAAAGGAGGTCTAATGATGAGTTGAGATCATTTGGAATATCATTAAGTGGCCAGACCACCAAGGTTGTTTCATCCACATATCTCAACCGAGCGGAGGGTTTCGGTGTGCTTGACGCTATCGCTTCGGCTTCAAAGTCTTCCACGTGCGCGTTCGCAATCGCAGGAGACAAAGGAAGGCGAGCCCATTGCTGCCCGTACCCTTTCGCTAGTAGAAAATCACGTTTCCGTAAGAAACAGGTGTTCTTTGGACGGCGCCCCGGCTAGTCGTGGTATACCTTCGGCTAAACTCGTGCTCGTCGCCAAAGTATCGAGTAACTTCATCGGCTCGTTCGCTGGAACCCACGTGAACAGAGAAGTCGCGTCGACACTTACCGGAGTGCCATTGGGGGTGAGGCTTAATATCCTTAATTGTTCAGTTTAACACGTAGGCTTTCGCGACCAATATCATCCATAAGAGGTGTTTGTGTTAGATAGTGTAAATACTTACTAGATGGCTGTGTCGGGTGGTGGCGGGTTGTAACAACACATTTATATATTTACGCGATCTAAACCAAAAACCTCTATTATGGATCCTCAATTATATTTTCGAAGATGTTCTCAGTCTTGGATTAACAAAGATCTCCTTCTGATGTGGAGCTGTATATGTGTTTTGTTACGTATTGTGCTAAATTGTGTGGGACATCAGGTTTTGCAAATCTATTTTTTTGCAGCCCACAAAGTATTACCGAAGCCATCAGCAGAAGGCGTGTGCCGGATTAATTGCCGTTGTGGCAAATATTCTTAGTTTTTTCGGTAAAGTCACGTTGAAGAGAAACAACAAAATAACAAAATATATATAAAACAATAAAAAATTCTCACGACGTTTCGACCATAACTCAAACGGTCATCATCAGGTGTGTTGGTTTGCATGAATTTATTTTTAAACGGCACATTTATTTATTTATAAAAAAACGTTTGCGTCACGCGCAGCGATTGGCAGTTTGCCCAGGACTAGTCCATCTATTTTTTTGAAAAGAGGAGGGGGGAGACGAAATTTTTTATAATGTATGCTGTCTGAAAGCCACTGTAAGCGTGAACAATCAATCAAGAACTGAAATGATTTATCAAATCTTTCCAATGATTGCTAAGATAGAATCCATCTTCTCGTTTGAAATTGTCTCTGTGCTTGTATACGTGGATAGCCTCATGAACGAATCTCTCATGGAAGCCAGATGGCTTACAAAGAACCTCCGTCTTGGAAAAGTCAATGGCATGTGAGCCCACTGAATTATAACAATGATCTGCCACGGCCGAGGTGTTGGTCCTACCGTGTTTAAGGTCTGCTTTGTGTTCACGAATGCGGTCCGAGACATGGCGTTTGGTTTCTCCAATGTAACTACTACCACAGAGGCAACCTAGTTTGTAGACACCAGGGTATTGTGTGGCAAATGCTATGGTGGGCAAACAGGACGAATGATCGGCGTGGTCGTGGTTAGGCCGGCGTCGGCGGCCCGGGGGGCGTGCAGACCGTCTCACCGCTTGCGGCCGTGCGGTGGTGGTGTGGTGGTTTGCGTGGCGGTCGTGGTTAG